TTAAGCCCGTTGAATTTCTCGGCTTTTCAGCAGTAGATACATGGACAACATGTACGACAAGATGATGAACAATGTGGTTAATTGGCTGCTGAGTGTTGGAACCCTCTTCGATGGATGCCATCAGTTCAATAGATTGCGATATTCGCCTTGCAATTGTTACAAATTTTGTGTCGAAATGCACGGGAATCCAAGAACTGAAATGTACTTATCGATTCTTACATTTGAACTAAAAATTGAAAAATACAATAAAACAGAAAATAAATTACAGTTTGAAAACGAAAAGATTATAGCTGAGGCGAGTTAACTCTTACCGTAAGACGAATACGCCCCTTGTAGTGTTGACGATTCAGACTTATTTTCCTCAAAGATACAATGGTGATCGTCTCGAAATTTGTAGCACACCGGACTTAAGAGCTCTGGCGAACTGGAACAGAGTTTAGGACGGAGCACTTAAAATTGGAATGAAATTTATCTCTCTTTTTGTATTTTGATAATAGAACTTTGCTTCAATAGAACTACCATGTTATTATTTTTCTCCTGCTTTGTATTTCTAATTTTTCTCATATCTTATTTTTTCCTTTCAGTTTTCTTCTATATCTCTCGTATTTTTTTTTCTCTGCTTTCAATTTTGCAGATTTTCACTTCACTTCTCTTTGTGTGTATATATATATATATATATATATATATACATAAACACACACAATGCTTGAAGAAAGCTTACTATTATAAACTCGGAGCACTATTCAAAGTTACTTTTCAAAAGCAGCATGCAAGCAATACCGTTTCTTCACGCAACAATTCAAGTGGGGGATTAACCTCTTACACTCAATAACTATGCTAACAAAATATGCAATCAATGGACTACTAAATGATAATTATTCGTGAACAATCTCTATTTGTTCCAAAAAAATGACGGATAATCTGCCTAATTATTATGCAAACTCATAGTATAATTTGTTAAGAGAAAATAATGTGGGAAATTAAAATGTCCAAGTATGTTGACATTTTTTTTTTGTATATTCTTAAAAATCCCAATCATGAAAGTGTATATAAAAAATTTCTCCGATGTGGTTATTTTATTATTGTCCATTGCATATGGAGCTGGAAGAGTCATTGTTGACAATTCTCCTGGCATAATGCTAATAATGTACTAAATCAAAATGATTCAATTAAATTCTAGTGCTTCTTCTATTAGTGAAGTTTTTATAAAAAAAAATATATCAAACGACGCAACGCACCTTGGGTCGCTATGGAAACAGCCTCCTTGTATAATTACAAGGGTAAGGTTTGCGTACAACTGACCCCCAGACCCCAACCTGTTGGGAATATACTGGGTATGTTGTTGTTGATGTTGATGATGTGGTTATTTTATTTAACTTTTCTATATGTTTATACTAAGTTAAGATGAACAATTATGAACATAACAAACTTACTAGTCATGTCGAGGACCAAGACATAAAGGTGCCTGTTAGTACTTTTTTCCAGGTTACATTCCTCTTTCATCGACCTCAGGATCCTGTCAACAAAGTAAATAAGAAAAGTTAAAAGACATATATGAATAAAAAAAGTCATTTGAGCATAAATGCATCATTTGAAACAATTTTAACAAAATGGCAGCCATATAAGGGTGCAATTAGAAATACAACTTTTAACAACTACAATTTACAACACAAGTTTGAATAATTGCAAATTCATAGATAAATTGTGAACTTAAGTTAAGAATGACTTACACAACATGAAATACTTGAATGTTACGGTGATTACCAGAAAGATTATAGAGACAAACAAGAGGATGATAGTGGACCTAAGGTATACAATCGGAAAAGTACATTGAATAAAATAAATAGTTAATGCTAGATCATTATAGTTGTGATCAAATAGTATAGACACGAAAAAATGATAGTGAAATGGGAACACAATATGATATGACGATTTTGTCACTCTAATGAATTATTTTTTCAACTTTTTTTTGGCAAGACATCAAGGGTAGATTATGAAATTCGCCCACAATGATTATATATCCCAAAAATATGATTTGAGAATTCGTACCTTTCTCGGATGAAACTGGCATTGGCAAAGCAAAGAGTCCCATAGTTGATGCGAGCAATTAAGAAGCCAGGGATTTTAATAGCCGCAAGATATTGCAATGTGTTGCAGAATAAATCAGTCCCTGGAATTCTTCGTACAATTTCTATACTCGGTTTTATGGAGCTCACTATTACCTTTGCAAATGATATAGCCACCTGTACCATATGTCAAATTTATTAAGTTACTTTATTTATTTATTAATTGACGTAACGAAAGCGTACCAAAGGGAAAACAAGAAATAAAATATCAAGACAATATTTTTTAATTCATAAACTTAACAAATTCTTGAAAATGAAGAATAAACCATTAAAATAGAATCTCACAAAGCCTTAATCTTGTCTAACAAAGATAATTAAATATTTTTCCTACCAAATAAAATACTGGAATAATTAAATAATGTTACTAACACATCGAGGACTAAGATACTAACAATAAATAATGAGAATAAATAAATAAAATAAAGATCCCAAAGATCATGCTTGCCCTCATCTCCATCATTATCCCCCTCTTGAAAGGGATTCACCCTCGAATCTGATGCAATGTCATATTTATCTACCACATGTGGCTCCTTGTAAAAAACAGGTAGACCCTCATAATTGATCAAACCCATCAGCATAAAAAATAGGCAGACCCATACTTTCGGTCAACCCCCTCCAATAACTCGGCGGCTTTCAAGCCGCCAGATAATTCTGAGATATCGACTCAAAAAGAAGCCTCCCATTGCTGATTGTTGGTGAAGTAGTCCTCGTCCTGTGTCGCCATATTACCAAAAGGACGTACCTCGGATATGGTAACGTCAAAGTCACCGACAAACGATTAAAGCGATCGAGAGCAAGGCACCCCGCGTGTGCCTCGCCTACGTCCACTGCTCATTCCCATGTGGTCGTCATGTCTTCTGTCCAACGTGCATTTCATTTACTTATCTTGAAAAGTAATACGTTGAGCCAATTGGAAGTCCTCAATCCTTGTGGTCAGATCAACAATTTGACAACTGAAGCCCAAGGTCAGATCCGTGACTTGTCTCCCCAACGCTTCGATGGCGGCATCACACCTGTCTTCTGCAGTATTGTTACCCTTTGGCGGCAACGTAATTGTTCTGGTCTTTATAGTTTGTGTGACTTGTGAATATAAAAAATATAAATTAAGAAGAAAGAAGAAAATGAAACAAAATCTATGTTGAGGCACGTAATAGTTATGTTCTCGTTAAGATGAAATTGCCCCATACAATACCTATGCTTAACGGCAAATACCTCCAAGATACAACGACTTTTGATTTGCATATAGTGGTACTTTAATGTACAAGTCTTCGATGAACTATACTATTGTTTGGAACCTTCAAGACTTAACGAAAAAAAAACTAAAGAACACAATATGCTAATGAACTTTGAAAATGTAATGCAAGAGCTCTTAATTTTCAAGTTGTGAATGGTTCTATGTATGTGGGTATTTATAAATGTAGAAAAACTGCTCCAAAAGTTCAAGTGTCAAAAGACACCTTTAAAGGCATAGTCGAACGAGAATGGACGCATCTAGAGGTCAAAAGACACCTTATGGTCACCAAAACTCGCGACCTTCCGCTGGCCGCGGACAACTGTGCGCCTCTGCGCCGCAGGCTCATACGAGCTCATCTGGACTCATAATCGAGTTACTTGTCCCTAATGAACCCCTTTAAAGTTATAACATGCAAGTAGCATGATCATATCTCATTTGGATTAACCTAACATTCATCAAAGACAAAATATTTTGTGATTCCAATAATTTGAGTTACTTAAACTCAATTACTTCGACTTTACATTTCCCACATATACAACTTAGAATTAATTTCTGTTCACTTTAAAATGGTTTTGAAAATTTTCTAAGTCTTCCACTTAGGAAAAATAGAACCAGCAAATCAGTACAAAACTATTTTTTATTACAGTCTCTAGATACCAGCGTGCAAAAGGGAAAATAAGAGATAAAATCTCAAGACAATATTATTTAATTCATTAACTTGACCAATTCTCCATAATGAAGAAAAAGTCAATAAATAATCTCACAAAGCCCTAATCTTGTCTAACAAGTAATGATAATTAAATATCTTTAAAAGACTAAAATAATTAAATAACTTACTAATAAGTCCAATATTAAAATACTAACAATAAATAAAAAGAATAAGTAATTAAATTAAAGGTCCCAAAATCATGTTTGACATCATCTCCATCATTAATTTTTCAGTTATAATTTGTATGATGATTTGTACATATATCCAGAAATAATCTAGAATTATCAGGAACGAAGATAGTTTGAAAATGATTTCCCATTAAGATACTGATAATTTACAAGATTGTGTAATTCATTTGATGTATTTTAAGAAAATTAACAAATTCAAACAAAATGAATTATGCATTTGGTAGTCTCCAAGTCGTCTGGATACCAGATAGAAATCAATAAAATATATTAAAGAGCAAAAAATTTAAAAAAGAATCTTTGCTAGTTGACCTAAAGTAATATAAACTTACAAGTAGACGTGGCCAGGTGCCGGGTCCGGGCCCGGCCCGGCCCGGCCCGCCGGGCCACGTGTCCGGAAATGGTGGAACCG